TGGTCCAGAGGTTGTGGTTTGAAACTCAAAATGAGACTTTAACTAATCTGTACCACTGGAAACTGACTGGATTGTTAGTTCCCTCAAACACTTGCTGAGGTGGTTGACACAGGAACAGATCTTATTTTTTTTCTTTATTCTGACTTATGGCTCATATCTAGTGACTTGTAGGCAGTTTCCATTACCTAGCTGCATACCTGCGCTGTCTCTTTACAGGGGCTTCCCTGCTTCTTCCCCAGCACCTCTGCAGAGGCTGAAATACAGTGTGGTAGAGGACTCCAGGTAGAATTACTGCTTTCAAAGTAAATCAAACTCATACAAGCCTTCAGTGCTCTGCTGTCTTTCAGATGCATCTTCATTTAATCATTTTAGATGCTAGACTAGAACATGCAATGCATGTTCAGAGCAAAGAGAGAAAACGTTTGGGGATGGATTGGCAGAATTCTCTAACAGAAGTTTTCTGCTCTATATACCTTATTTACACCTGCTGAAATGGTTTCATAAAATTATTTATACATCTATAAGCTTTTAGTCATCTCCTTTTTACTGATTATGTCACTGCATTTTCCCAGCAGTCATCTGAGTCTCACTTTGCACACTTTCTGTCTGCACAGTGAGATTAATTCTGTCTTGGGATCTGCAGAGGAGTGCTTAAATTTATGATTCAAATGGATACTGCTCCTGTGGCAGAAATTGTGAAGAGGTTCATGAATTTTTAATTAGAGGGGATTAATTCAATGAATACAATTTCCTAAACTAAGTTGTGTGGAGCATAGATGGAGCTTAATGTTTAAGTAATTAAAATATGCACATTCCCCCTAGATGTGCCATATCCTGGATAACTAAATTTCCTTTTAGGTGCTCTTGTCTGCTATGTTTGTGTATTTCAGGAGCAGAACAGAAATGCCTTCAGATAGGCTGTGATACACCTTTTACCTGTTACGTTACATACAGAACAAGTGAACTGAAGTTGTCATGGAAGAAAAAGTCCCTCATGAATTCAAAACCTGTCATTCCAGTCAGGAAATGGTTTTTCAGCTTCTTTCCCATGTATTTTGTGCTTTGTACTTCCTTCACAGTTGCTTTTTCAGACTTAGCTCATAAATGGTTGCAAAACTGTTTATAAGATTTTTATGAAGAAAGTAGTATATAAAACCAAAATCACAATATTAGAAACTGCAGCAATTTGAAAAGAAAATGTAAGCAAATGATCACATAAATTCATTCACAAAGTAGGCAGAAAAAGCTACCTGCAAAGGAAGCTTCTTTCTTGGTCCCTAAGGCAAACAACTAAAGGTTTGAAGCGTAAGCTACAAATCCTGCTTGTTAGGCTTACTACTACGTTTTCTTCCAAAAAAAGAGATTTGTAAAAAGCATTTCTCCAATTTGAACTTCTGCACCAGAGCTCCCAAGGTTACCAGTGGGGCTCTGCAGTTGCTCTCTGTGGCACCCACAGTGTGGAAGGGTTGGTAATCCCAGGCAATTCCTGGGCAGTGCAACGCCTGAAATTCATCCCTTCTACCAGGACCTCAGGACCTTGTCCTGCACCCATCCTCTGGATGATGGTGGCTTTGGATAAAGGAGGCAAAAGGAAAGATATAGGACTCCTATTAGGACTAAGAAATGGGAGAACAAAAGGTGAGAGAACAAAACAACCTGAGAATGTTTTAGGTCAGGTGTAGGTGACTTCATAGAAGAATCCCTACTTTAAATTCAGTGGGCTTATTCTACAGGATATTAGCATTACTGATTTTTAAAACTTCCTCCTGGGTTTATTATCAGTATTTGAGATTCTGTGATGTGCTGACCTTGGACCTGCAGGGGGGCTGAACAAGCTGGTGCTAAGCCACTGTTCACTTTCCATCTAATGTGTTCCCCAGGGATTGGATACAATTTATGGACATCTCAGTTTCTCCACAATCCTCAGATCTTAGTTGCTGGTTTTAATAGTGTATTGGGCAAGTTCAATATGCACCAACAGTTTATGAGTACAGGATAGGTGTCCTGCCTAGAGCCCCTTAAATCCAGAAGCCTTGCTAGAAATCAGTCACATTTGGGAAACACTGGATTTAATAGTGTAACTTAAGGAATGTGCATTTGATCAGATACTTTGTCAGATCATTGGGTTTCTTCAGCACTGTGTAGCATGTAGGTGATGTGAATTTTCTGGTACATCTCAGACAAGCTTTATGGGCACATGTAGAGGGCAGTTATCTGGGGCAGGAAGGCTGCTTGCACAGAAGGTACCTATTGCTCTGATGCCTGCTTTGTCTAGACAAGAGCTCTGGAAATGCAGGCTGGGGATGTCTCTTGCTGTAGCCCCTGTTTCTATAAGCCCAGGCTATCCTTGGTTTCATTTTTAAGTTTTGGCTCAGAAGGATGAAACATGTACTTCAATGAAACTAACCTTTAAAAATATTTTCTGAAAAGATCTTATCACATGCTAGAGAACATGCCAATAGTACAACATTTGCTCAACCTTCTAGAATTAGCCTTTGGTAAAAAAGGGCCCTGATCCTGATGGATTAAAGTCAACACAACCTGTGGATTTTAAAGTGAAGTTTAATGTGAGGTTTCATGGATTTTAACCAAAAAAAAAATAGAATTGCTCAAGGCTGATGAAAGTTCTATGATCTCTGATACAGATCTAAGCCAGAAGTTTAGTTGAGAGTACTATTTCCCCAAGGTTTTTTTTGTTTGTTTCTTGTGTAAATAGCGATAGAAAAAATACCATTCTGCTGGAAAGGCAGGTTGGAATAGTAATCATAACAGTGTAGGACTATCAGGTGTTTTGCATTTCAGCATTGCGAAGTTGTGCTCTGGAGGACGGAGAGGAAAGTTGTCCTTGCTTCTGCCCTCCACATTCATCTTGTTCCTATAAAACAGGTCCTGTTCTAACAGGGTGAGCTTGACAGCAAATGAGAAAAAAGTAAGTAAATACAGTCAGGTTTTTTAGGATTTAGTTACATGGGATGCAGCTGACTGTTCAGCTGAGTAGGAACTTTTCATGTAATTGTAGTCTCAGTCTTCATGAGCAGCTGCTCAAGCAGTTACACAAATTTACACAAAATTATTATATTAAAAAAAAATAAAAACAAAAAACAAAACACTTGAAGCAAAGCAGCTTTTAAAGACAGCAGATAAATCATCAGAAACTTGGGATCTAAAGGCCTTGTTGGGGACATGGTGGGTTCTCCTGACTTGGCATACTGAAACTGTAACATAAAACTGATAAAATGTTCCTTTTCTCCTCAGTGCAGCATTTTATGGACAGATGAGGTGCTCATGAATGGCAAGTGTTTGGATAGTGGAGCTCTTTTTTCTCTCCCTCCTTGCTAAGAACTAGGTAGGGCTTGGAGAGTGTCTGAGGAAGATTCTCAGCCATGTGCCTGCAGCCTTTTCCAGGTACAAAATTTAGTCAGGTTCCTTTTGACAGAACTAAGGGAGAAAGAGAGGGATGCCTGGTGCCAAGTAGCTATTTTCATTTCTCTTATCTGTGAACATCTCTGGAATTCCCCTGGCCTTAGTCCAGCTTCTGCTTGATTAGAGGAGTCCTGTTGGATCTGTCAGTAAGTGAACGTGATCGCCTTTTCATGTCCACTTTCACTCAAGGACTTCATTTCCCTTTTTGTGCTACACAATCAGCAAAAGCAGATGTGCAAACAGTGCATGGTCAGGCAAAATCCCCCAGCAGGGCAGTGACCTGGTGTCAGCCTTGCACACGAGCAAGGCCGTGGCCATGGGCCATCCTGTGCCCTCCCTGGGCAGCGCAAGCTGACTCCGTTGTGTGATGGCAGAGCAGGCTCCTTTCTGCTCCAGATCTGCAGGCTTCCTGAGTGGTTAGTCCAACACCACCTCATGGCAGTCAGTAGTAAGTTCCTGTTTAGCATTAAAAGGCTGCATTTCCAGAAAATTGTGTCTGATTTTCTTTTTTTTTAATTAAATCCCAAGAATGTTTTGTCACCCGTTGTGTAAACAACGGGAATAGGAAGTACAATTTCACAGAGATAAGCATTTTACATGTAGGCTGAGGAATGCATGAACAAGAAGTCCTTCAGCGCTGAGAAACAAATCCATGTCCTTTTTTTAATTTTTTTGCAATGTGTGCACCACTGCTTAGCCAGCTGTTATGAGTAAGTTATGGAATTCACTTTGCAATAACTTCACAAAGGCTAAGGCTGGCTGAGAATAAAGTAGGAATAAGTAGTTTACCCCATGATTTCACATGACGATCAACCAACAAAGTGTAGTTCTCAGTACTGATGACTCTATTATCTTCCTCCATTCTAACTGGAGTTTTCCCACTAATTTCAGCCAGACATGGTAATAGTGTGTGCCTTTTAAGCAGCTGGCTTGCAGTCTTCAATTAGATACCACTGAGGATAGTGGGACTCCCTCATCTAACTTGAGGTAGCTGAAACCAGTCAGGCAAGTTGTTCTGTAGGAGTTTCTGCATCTCCCCATCAACTGCAAAGGGAGCCTGGATAATTGAGTTCTCATTGGAGTAGATGGTTGAATCCTAGGTGTTTGTAGAAAAGTGGTTTGAACTCCATACTGTTGACATGTTTCTATGTGAGAAGCTGGTCTTGATGAAAGGTATCTGTATCCTCTCAGTATTTTTTTCCTCAGAGAATTTTCTCCTAATGCCAAATTTTTCCTGAAGGTAATTTCTTGGAAATTGCACTTGAACTTATCTAACAAATTGTGGTGATGATCTAGTGAAAATAAAATGCCCCTCTGTCTATTTTGTTTTGAATGACTTCTGTCTGGCAGCTTTACTTTCTGTATTCTGCAGTGATAAGTATGAAATTAGCTGTTTTAGTGGATTATTTCAGAACTTATCCTGAAAGCAGTTCTTTTTCAAGTAGTTAATATTTCCTGTATAAACTGTTTTGAAATAGTTCGTGATTCTGCTACTGTCTTTTTCCTTTTTCTCCCCTTCATATTTCTTCTTTCTGGTGTTTGGATATTTCCTTAAGTTGATATTTGTTGTATTTTAGGAGAAACCTGATACCAGCCCCACATCTCTACAGCTGCGATCCCAGATTGAGGTAAGCACTTTGATTTTGATCATTAACTTTTGTTTGTTTGTTCTTTGATTTGATATTCTGCAAAAATTGGGTAAAAGCTTCTCTAGTGCCTACTCTCAGTGCTGCATGTCTTCTCTTGCAGGAATCACTTGGTCTCAGCAGCACTGCATCAACACCTGACACTGAAAGAAAGTAAGTGAAGGCACAGGAAGTGAGAAAGGAGGGAGGGGGAATTTGGTATGTTTTCTTTCTCCTTGGAGTAATTTAATTTTAGATTGTACTTACTAGAGTTCAGATCCAGACACCGCAAATGAAACCTGTTTTGGAAACTGCTCCTTCTCTTCCTCACTTTTGGCCTTCTATTATTTTGGGTTTTTATGTCAAGGGAGGGTTATTGTTTCTCTTTTCTGTGAGTGCTTGGGGTGTGCATATACTAAGGTGACTGCTAGTCATTGCTGAGGAATATCAGTGATTTCACATTCTCTGCAAATTACACCTGCTTTAAAAATTACTCTCTTTGACTAGACTTAAATGCAGCCAAAAAAAGATAGGTGAGGGGAAAGGACAGTTACAGACTTCCATCGCGTTCCTTTTCCTGTGAACTCCTGAGTTTGTAACTGTGCTTTTGAAGAAGGTGCCAAGGGCATAGAAGTACTTAAAACCAAGTTAAAAGGAGCTTTAATTTTAGCATCCTGAATGAAAACCTCTCTGTGAGCACTGAGAGGGTTTCTGTTTACTGTCACCTCCTGCTGCAATGTGTGTGCTTGTTTTCTGTGCCTCCTTCCTTTGATCCCAAGATCTTGGATCCCTGCTGCTGAGGGTAACGTGCAGTGGTGCATGAAGACAACTGACACTCTGTGTCCAATTGCCTGCCCTTCCATGGGGTAGTGCCAGCTGGATGAGTTCAGAGGGATTACATGGAGTCCATTTGTGATGGGATGTGCTTTTGTATGGTTTTATAGTCCCACATTTGAATATTCTCAAGTGATTCATCACTGGGCAGTAATAGGAAGGTTTCTTGCTTTTGCTGCTTCAGTACAAGGACGGTCAGTCCCAGAGCAGTCTTTGGTGGATGTGGTGTATGGGACTTTGCTGGGCACTGACCATATAGAAGTCAGTTGTATGGTAGTGAACAACTCCTTAGGGGCTTCTGTTGGGCTTGTCTGGAAGCTGATTCATGCTAAAGGTTTAGAACATGATATCTTGCCTTTTAGAGGTGCCTTCTCCTGCTTCATCGCGCAGAGAGAAAAGCAGAGATGGTTTGCTTAAGGTAGATGCTAATTTTCAAAGCAGCCTAAGACAGATAAGGTGAATTACCTCGGGTATCATGATTGTCCCCATATTGCATGCTGGTAAAAGAGAAGGCCTAGAAGTCTTAGGAAAGACTTCTCATATATGGAAAAGAATCTTTAAAGGATATGTGGCTGTCCAACATTATAATGAAACCAGAAATGCCAAGTAGATGGGAGTTGTAATCTGGGAAGCAGACCTGCAAGGTTGGCCTATAATCATACAACTTCTCTCTCAGCCTCAAAGCACTTTACCCATGGGTAAATATCATAATCCCACCTCAGGTAATAAAGAGATGAAGCTCTTGCAGGAGAACAGCACACAACTCAGAAAAAAACTCCACTTAGCAGTTTTAGCCAGCTTCCTAAGTTGTGTCTCTATGCAGGTGTTCTACCACAAATCACTGAGAAGACAGTATCAGCAAAAAATCTCCTGAGTGACTCCTCTGAGACTGCCTACTTTTCTCACTGAAAGGAAATTATATTATCTTAGTTCAGATGAAAGGGACATGTGATTTTCATGGACCTTTCAAAAATGAAAGTGTGCCACTTGAGGATTTGTAGAAGGGTGTATGTGATTAACCTGATCATACATATGAAACTGGTGCAGGACAGGTTGTGCCAGATACTTGCACAATAAGAAGCAAGGCCATGTGACACAGGATAATTGGACAAGGTGTTGAAAGTAATAAATTGTCTCTACTCAATACTGTACCAATTATTGAAACCTGAAATTATACAAGTCTGTGCCTATTTGTGACAGCCTGACAGATCAGTGTTGGCTTCACCCCTCTAGCCTGGAAGACTTGAATTCTCACAGAAATTGCCCCTTCCAGGCAGGAAGGCTTCATAAAATTATCTGCAGGAAAATGACCACTTCAAGCCCATCCTGTATCAATACACCTGTATTTGCTACTAACATGCTGAATTTATTATTTCTCAGGGAAGGATGTTGTGTAAGCCCCAGGGATTTTTGTGGTGTTCATTATATGGCTTTCATCTGAATTTTCCGTGTGGGCATACTGCTAAACATGGAAGCTTGTTCCTTTGGGGACACAGTTTTTATGTCAATCTCATGCTGCATGAAAGATGTGTGGTAAACCTTCTACAAAACTTGCTTTGTTGTAAGAAGACTAATTTGCCAAATATGAAACTTGATGCAGATGTACACTGGTTTCTCATATTCACAAAAGATTTGGGGGACGAAAGGAAAAATGTGTTCAAAACTTGACATACAGACTTTCAGGAGCTGGAAAAAGTGGTTTTTTGAATACTCTTCCACAAGTAAGAGCTTATCCAAAAACAGTTATAATTCTACATATTGAAAGTCCAAATGTTTTCCTAGGATGAAATGAGTTGTTTCTGGTCTGGTGTTCTGAGCAGATTGATTTAGAAAATAAGGGCAGTCCCAAGGAAAAATCTATACTAAAATAAGGAGAGAGAAAGTGTCTGTCTGGAATACAGTTACTCTCAGTAGCACCCTCACCCAGCACTGCTGCCTGCACACCCTACAGCTTAATGCTACCAACGTCTAAAGTTTTAAAATAACACATCTGGATGGTTGTTTAATTTGCCAGAGTTTTGACATTCCAGACAGAAAGAAGCTTTGAGGGAACCTGGGAAGAGCAATGTTTGCTTTAACCTGGTTTGGTTTTCCTTTTCTGTGCTGCTCAGCTGGAAGAGAGAGCCCAACAGGCTCCACTGTACGCCACACTGAAAACAGATTAACCTTGGTGGTCTGTGGTAGGAAAAAAATCCTGTTTGTGTGGACAAGAAGTGGATGTTCAGTTTTGCCTTGAGTCTTACTAACCCTGCTGCCCAGTGTGGTCTAAAGTCAGTGCACAATTAGTCAGTGCCCTCAGTCCAGCAAGTTGCTCAACAAGCATCTGTCTAGTGATGTGCTCTAACACAGACGAGCAGCAGCAGAGCTTGTAGGCAGGCAGGAGGGATTAAATGAGCCTGGAGGCAGAAGTGTTTGTCACCGTGAGTCATTGTCACCACCCCCCACCCCCTAAGTCATTTGGGGCAGTGCTACCTTCCACTGTTGATAGCAACAGTGTTCCTGTTAATTAGATGAAGCTACCAAAAAAGACTGCGTATGTCAACCTACTCAGTGTTATATGTGCCCTACCAAATATGCCTTTTGTTTGACTGGTTCTGACAAAGAAAGAAAAATCTTCACTCAGAGGGAAAGCCCTCTGAGATTTATGTGAATAACAGCAAGGGTACTGATGTGGCCTGAAAAGCTGGCCATAAACAACAGAAAACAAAGTCATGTTTGTTCAAGCTTTGCTTCACAACTGCTCTGATTTTTTGGCCTTACTGGAGTTCCTTCTGTAAATTGAAACAGTTTGCCAGGTTTCTAAGTTATGTCATATTCAGCAACTAATGCAGAGCATGGAATGAGGTGTAGCTTTCTTCTCTGAATAATAAATTTCACTTTCCTCTGCCTTTTCCAAGATTTCCATCTTTTAAACTGTGGTCTTGCTGACAATTGTGGCGCTAGTGTAACTTTGCTGTTTCTCAGTGTGCCTTCAGTAAAGTGGCAACAGCATCTTTAACAGTGATATTTTAAATTTTAAACAAAAATCTCCCCAGAATCACAGGTGCTTCTAAAAAGACACATTGACTTCTGCTTTTGCTGGAAGAATCATTAGTGTAGAAAACATGCAGTAAATGTGTTCTTTAGCAATTACTGCTACTTCTCTGACCCCATACCTTGTTCATCTGGGGATGTATTGTATATACAATTCCTATTATTTCGAAGAGATGGCAACACCCCAAGGATGTTTACTCAGATAGGGGACTGAGCAGGGTTTTCTCATAATTGTAAACAGAGCATTTAAACAATGTAACCCAACTTTTAGCCTGTTCCCATTTTTGAGCATTCAAGTCTACATGACAGACTGATGAGCTCTGCATGTTTGCCAGGAAATCCAGGTTAAACCCAGTCCCCTGAACTCAGGCTTCTGCATCCTGACTCTCATCCTGTTTTTAGAAGAACTGGGGGGATGTTGCAGAAAGGAAGTTGTGTGTTTTCCCTCTTTGGAAATAGATCTGTTTGCTGTCACTGTTTGCTCCATCAGCCTTTGGGCTGTGTTTCAGATGTGGTGTATCTGAGATCTTCTGGGAAAGAAAAGGAAGTGGGTGAGAGACTCAGGAGCACTGCATACAAATAGGATGAGGTACAGACATTCCTATAGACTAATATTTTTCAAAGTACCTCAATATTTCTCTTTTCTAATATTTCTGCTAGAGAAAGAAAGGATGAAAATAATGCGTGAGGTAACAGTTGTGTCTTGTTTTTGATGTTTCAGTCGTTCCCACCACCTTTGTGTAGCAGTGGGTGTTATGAATTGTCGCCTTCTATATGGATCTCCTGCACTTTCTTGAACTGTACAGAACAAATGCACTCCTGACCAGTAAAGTGTCACCCTTCATATCAAGTGCCACAATTCATCCTGCTGTACTCCTCAGCTGTGGCTCAGTACAGTTCAAAAGTTCTTGACCCTGTGCTACTCAAGACCTAAATCTGAGACTCTGCCAGAGCAGGGAACTGTCCAGAAACACACATGTCAGGCAGAAGGAGAAAAGCAGGCATGTGTGGGGTGCAGGTGACACAGGGCAGCATCGCTCAGGGGCTTTGCATTCCCCTGGCGTGCAGGAGCTGCTGTGCCTCTGGCAGCTGCACCTCAGCTCCTCCTTCAGCTGCTCCTGAGGGCGATGGCTGTCACCCTGTGTGTGTGCAGGATGTACTGGGCCACTCATGCCTGCCACTCATGCAGCTTGGCCAGATCTCTGGTGCCTTGTTGGGAATGTCTCGGCAGGGGCTGCAGGCTCCTCGGGCATTATGACATTCTCTGGGGTTCTTAGCAAGCAAACAGTGAGGCCACAGCACAAGTG